TGATGGGGGACAGTGACAGATGCGGGAGTTGGGACGGGGCTGGGAAGGGGAGAGGGGAGGAGGTGAGGGGGGGAGGGTGACGTCGCTTCCTTGACGGCCCTGGTTGCGGGCTCGGTGATCGGTCCGCTGCTACAGGATGGACGATTGGTCCACCTGTAGCCATGGTCGTGGATAACTCCGCGGCCATGGCTAACGGCCGCAGCGGCTCGTCCGCCGGGAATGGCCCTTCCCCACATCGGACCACCCCCGCCTGTTTTCCCGGGAGCGGACTGATGGGAACAACGTCCGCGTCCAGGTTGAGCTGGACGTGACGTGCCCCACGTCCGCCCCTGTTGAACAGGGCCGATCGGACGACCTGAAAACAAAATAAAGTTACACAAATTGCGATGAGATGAGATTGGAGCATTCAGATGCTTTAGAATCTTTTCGAAAAAGCATTCGAAAGTCTTGAGAGTATCTGAGATTTCGAATTCATTGGTGTTAGTTTGATGTCAGCGACGAGCGATTTGATTCAAATTAATCGAAATGTAAAATAAATGAAAAAAAAACAACGAAAAAGTTACGTACCCGCTTAGCGGGACCGACGCGCACGGCGCAGTATCGGCCACGATATTCCAGTCCCCAGAATATCGGGCCACTGCCGCCGTACGCCTCGGACTCGCCACTGCCCCCCAAGTCGTGCACAACAAGTTGTACACCCTTGAGGAGGCAGACGGCCTCCAGGACGAGGGTCGTGCACGCCCCTCTCTGGGCCAATCGTACATGACGATCCCGACCCAGACGATCGGGATCGTACGCCTGTAGCGTGAGCCACTTGCGGCTCACGAACTTGGCGATCTCCTCTGCTGGCGGGACGTACATTAGCGCCGCCAGCACTTGCAGCAGATTGCTGCAGGGGACGCCGACTGCGTCCCGGGCCCTGAGGTAGCCCTCGAAGGGCTCCAGTTGCTCCCTCTGACGCTCATCCAGCTCGCACCTGAAGTTTACCTCCATGCCGGCCATTTTTTATTTTGTATCTGAAAAATCCGCATGTATTTTTGTTCTCCGTAATCAAAATGGCTTCGGCGTGGAAATCAGCGATATTTCGGTGAGCACGATTCGTTCAGTAAGCCAATCAAATGGAACGACGTTTCGACGACAACGATTATCGCGAGAATTTCATTGGAGTATACACAAATTCACGCACACAACGAATCAAATCATAAAGGAATACTGTTAATTTTGATTTAATCACCGATAATAAATATCGTTGAAGATTCGAAAAATCAATTTCAGATGACAACGTGACACTGAATTTGCATCTGAAAACGAACATCAGAGTAAATATTGAGGAACAGAACAAATCTTTATTAATTTTTTATATAGCTTATCTGTAACACTCATCTAAATCAATTAGAAACTCATTCTGATGACAGATGATGTTTGTAGCTATATACGATGGAAGATATCTCAACTGAGTTTGCTAATCATATGCAGGGAGCGTACTTGTTTTTTTTTTTTTGAAAACATCACAGACGTAAAGCTCTTTCGACCTTTAACAAATCCTTATAAATCTAGGATACATGCAGATTTTGAGAATAAGTGAAACGGAATGAGACGTTAACTCATCATGTCCGTTCATTACAGCGAACAATGTTGATGAATGAGATGAAAACAGAAGGATAAATCCGATTGAGAAACACGAAGATATGGTCAAATCGCTGATGATAAATATTCAACGAAACTTTTTTTAATAAACATTCACCTAAGTTTTGTTTGAGCATCGTTGAATTTTCGTGGAAAAATTCAACGAAGCTCAAACAAAACCTTTCAAATATTAGCCGAAGTACGATTTACAATAAAAAAGTTCCTCTAAAAGCAGTACGCAGTAATAATTTCAAATAACCATGTTAATAGAACGAAGCCAAAGCCTAAAACCATAATGAATATTTATAATAAATACACTGACTTAGAAAAAGTATTCGAAATCGCCAGCAAAATCACATTGAGTATGCTGATTGCGATGTAAGAACATTCTGTTCTTGATACTGATTAGATGGATTTACATTATTCGATTAATAGTCGTACATGGATCAGGAATCTATCAGCTCAATCTGTTTCAACAGGATTCAACTGAATTTACCTCAAATCCGCGAAAAAAAACTCCATCAAAAATGATGACCATAAAGTTGGACACTTAAAAAATCATCCACCCCTATCGCCACACTCACCAAGCACATAACATCCCACTCTCGATCACTTTCGTGCATGACATCGAGAGTCACTGTAATGAATCGTAATCAATCGAAAGCATCGTTTTCTCATGCAACAATTATTAATTAAGTAATCATGCAACAATTAACTAATTATTAAGTGATCATTCACGCCTTTTTTAGCTGTCATCAAAACTCTCCCGTATGATTCTCTCGCCCACGTTTGGCGGGTTGACTTGAACTTCTTTTTTTGCGCAATAGGCTCACAAATGAGATTTAGCAAAATTTAGTAAAAAAAAATTAGAATTCTCAGGAGATTTCAGGTCAAAATTTTGTCAACACCTTCAGAAGGTGTCTAAACATAGAAGAATTTACTGAATTTAATTCAGTGAAATTAATTTCACTGAATCCTGAGAATTTTTTGTAGATATAAAATTTAAAAATTTGCTTTGTCAACAAACTTATTAATTAATGCACATATTTCAGCACATAATAATTATTTCAGCATCCCTTTTTGTGTTAATAAACCCTTTAATTAATTATAAAATTTCGTTTATTTTCAAACTTGCTCTCATTTTCCTTATTTTTCAACTGTATCTTTTTGGCGTTGTTTTCAATTTCGTTTAATTTATTGAAATTGAAGGGAATAGTTCATTTGTATAGAAAGGGTGTTTTAACTAGGACGATATCTCGATGTCTGGAAAGATGGATATATTGCAGTTGGATCGAGGCGCTACATCTGTTTCGGGATGTCAGGTTCCATTTTGTTAGTTGAGATTAGCTGAGAATGTTCATAGTTAGTTGGTGCAGTATTGTTATCATCCATTATGAGAATAACTGACATAAACGTTATATACCCAATCGTTTATTGGCTTTTTCAATATCTTCGATTGATATTCAAATTGCCAATGAATGATAGGTGAGGTATTATTCTGATAATGTATCATGTTGGCCGATAATAGAAGGCGAATTTTTGGGTGATTTAGCGATTTTTGAGCTCTTTGCGGATGTTTTGGTTTCAATATTATTCCTTTTCTCCNTAGAAACTCATTTTGATGACAGATGGTGTCTGTAGTAATATATGATACAAGATATCTGAACTGATTATGTTAACCATACGCGGAGAACATACTTGTTTTGTTGAAAACGTCACAGACATAAAGCCCTTCCAACGTTTAACATATCCTTATAAATATTCGGATATATGCACATTTTGAAAACGGGTGAAAAGGAATGAAAAGTTGACATATCATATCTGTTCATTACAAAATGTTGATGAATGAGATGAAAACAAAAGGATAAATTCGATCGAGAAATACGAAGATATGGTCAAATCGCTGAAGATTTTTCACGAAGCTCAAACACAATCCTTCAAACACTATCCGAAGTTCACAATAAAACAGTTGCTCCAAAAGCGCTATGCAGTAATGATTTCAAAGAATCATGTTAACAGAACGAAGCATGAGCCTAAGGGCAAAAAATTCACTTTGTATAGATATTTATAATGCATACATTGAATCAGATAAAGTATTCGAAATCGCCAGCAAAATCACATTAAAAATGCTNAAAATCACATTAAAAATGCTGACTGCGATGCAAGAACATTCTGTTCTTGATATTGAGTAGGTGAATTTAAATAATTCGATGAATGGATCAGGAATCCATCAGCTTAACCTGCTCGAAGAGGATTCATTCAAATTTACCTCAAATCAACGAAAAAAAAATACAAAAAAGATATTCATGAAGATGGATACTCAAAAACCCATCTGCCCATATCGCCACATTCAATAAGCAGAAGTATCCAGATGAACATCCCACTTTCGATCACTTTCGCGCATGACATCGAGAGTCACTGTACTGAATCGTAATCAATCGAGAGCATCGTTTTCTCATGCAACAATTATTCTTTGATCACTCACACCTTTTGCAGCTGTCACTGAAACTCTTTCGCTCTTTCGTATGAATCTCTCGCCTACGTTTGGCGCATTCATTTGAGCTTTTTTGTGTACAATAGGCTCATAAATAAAAAATGACCGAAATTCTTAGAAAATTTCGGCCAAATTTCTATCAACACCTTTAAAAGGTGTCTAAAAATAATAGAATAATTTATTTCAGCATTTTCATTTCAGTGAAATGTCACTGAAAGTTTTTTGTGATCATAAAAATTAGTAAATCTTGCTTTTTCA